TCTCTCTCTCTCTCTCTCTCTCTCTCTCTCTCTCTTTCTCATTATCTCTCATCTTTTAAACTCTCTCTCTTTTATCCTCCAAACTCTCTCTCTCTTCCCTCTCTCTCTCCCTCTCTTTCTCTCTCTGTGTGTCTCTCTCTCTTTGTCAGATAGAATGTTTGTAATTCTGAGATAGGGAAATCCTGCGTCCTGCCTGTACTTATTCCCCCCTCGTCTAACTCGCTCAGAGAGCTGATGTTCTGCGGGCGGTTGGAGGGTGCTCTTTTGTGTGGTTTGCTCCTTCTTACCTATCAAACATCTTTCGTCCTTATCTCCCCTCCTTCTTTTTCGCGATTGTTACTCTCTTGTAACACCTCTAAACGTCTGAGCACTTATGACCTTATTGTGTTGCAAGTGCCGTAAAACTCGTACTAAAACTAGAAAAAAAGAGATTTTCTGTACGTATCCCTGTCCTTGATGCACCGGAACTGATCTGTCCCTGGTGAAATGGCGCCGTTGTCGTGTTGCGCTCACCAACGTAAATTAGCGTCCCTGGCAACCACCCCGCCATCTGATGCAGACAGCCGGGCCAACTGGCAAGTCTTGCTGCTGCGTCCGGCTCGGAGATAATCCCTACAACCTCCTGTGCCAGGATGGCAGGGGAGAGACATCGTGCTGAAATGAGGCGCTCGTCAAAAAAAAATTATTTAATGAAATTGAAGGTACCGGCTTTTTTCCCAATCACTGGTTTGATATTCTTGAACTCGAATTTTTTTCTTTTTTGGCTCCGCACCTTTTATGTCCATTCAAAAACACGTTTCTGTGTGGATTTTACTCTGGAAAAACGGTGACCAAAAGCCTCAGAAAAATGTAAATTTTCTGTTTCCTAAGACTCTCAAGCTTGTAAGTCACTGAGATTTGGCGCCATTTTCACTCTAAATTTACCTCTAAAGTCAGGCGACCCCTGCCTTCTTGGATTGCAAAGAAATATCTCGACTTCTAATCAAGATAGACATGTGTTATTTGTTTTATCTAAAGCAAGACAAATGAACAAGCGTTAACTTAAGATGATACCAATAACTCCACACGCCTCTAAATGGACGAGCGCCTGATTTCACCGCGTCGTGACACCTTATATATACTGGTCCGTCCCTCTCTTGGAAGATCTCTCAGATAACCGCTACGCCCAGTCGCATTACTCAACACGAGGTCGTGGGGGAGTTTGGGAAGGAGAGAAGGAAGAATTTAGAAAGAAGAATTTGGAAAGAAGAGAAGGAAGAATTTGGAAAGAAGAGAAGGAAGAATTTGGAAAGGAGAGAAGGAAGAATTTGGAAAGAAGAGAAGGAAGAATTTGGAAAGGAGAGAAGGAAGAATTTGGAAAGAAGAGAAGGAAGAATTTGGAAAGGA